TCTGTGAACCGTTACACCCCTAGCGTAAAACCAAAACAAGCTGAAACTTTGTATCACTGCAATTAAGCATTCAATTTAAATGGTCAATTTAGTCTTCATGCATTTCGCTCACTGCTTTTATAAGTGCTTCCTCAAGGTTGGGAGCACAGTTTTGAAGTTTGACATTTGTTGTCTCACAAGGAACTCTTCAGAACAATCTGTTCTATTGAGGGAAAGGAAATGGCTCTACAGAACCAGGACATTATGACTCGCTCCACGTTCGCCCTGACACTCTGTCACTGTTAAACCCCAGAGCGAACCCAAAAGTCCTTCTGAGCTCCAACACCGCAGTAAGTTACAAAGCCTGGCTTTCCTCAGGCGTGTGTGTGTGTTACTTTGATACAACGCGGGCCAGGAGGCAGCGACGGAAGTATCACAAAATGCAAATGCCTGAGCTCCCCGCAGTACTTAAGCTAGCAGTGGCGAGATAAACAAATGTTGAACCTCCTTTCCAAACAAATCCTTTTTATTAGGGCAGGCACTCTGTTCTGACGGAGCCAATGTCACCTCTAATTAAGCTCCGAAAACTGTGACAATCCCTGCATTAAATCTTAGCGACACAGAGTTAAATCTCATGTATGAATGCTGTGCGTGACAAGTAGAGCGGTAGAGAGATATACTCATGTTTGTTTTACTGCTTTTGAATCGGTGTAATTTAACCTAGAGCGGGTCGTTTCTGTATCTGTGAGTTATATAAAGCTTCAGTAAATGGGGCCCCTGTATCTGAGACGACTATCATCCAGAAGGCATATCACTGGAGCACTGGATGTTCCTTGCTGTCACAGGGAAGGGCTTTGTTTGTTGAAACGCCAAACAAGCTAAATATACAATTAAAATGAGGGGAAGACCACGTTCACATTGCTACTCAACCATCCTTTACAAATTCCTCTTTTGGCCTTTCTGCTGCAACACCTTTATCTCTCTCAGGGTGCATGGAGATGATTTATGATTCCTACTGTTTACATCTACTCTGAATTCGGCCCATGTTTTACAAGAAAAACTGCAGCGCATGCGAGGGAAATTACATTTAACGCAGGAGGAACCCTGCACAGTTGAAAGGGCCAACAATGACAAACAAGTTTCTGTGGTTAAGACAAAGATTTGAAACACGTCACGTTACTTCACCTCAAACAGGCTGTGAAATGAGGTGAACAAAAAGGCACAAAAACAACTGTATACCGCAAAATTCATTTCAAATCATGTGTTAGAATGAAATCAATTAGTATACCCTCACCACCTGATTCAACTTTCTTTAGCTTCTGAGGAAAAATAAGTTCCTGGAATATACAAAAACCAGCCAATTCATCTTCTTGTTTAAAATGACATATCTCGCAATACAGTTGTTGGGTAGTATGACAGCTGGTTGCAGAAATGACTGCCAACTATTGGGTTATACAATTATCTATCAGAAAAACTTATTATAAGACCAAAAGGATTAATCTCTAGCGATATTAGTACGTCAACTTCACATTATATATTGAAATGCTAAGCTTTTCATGTCCAACACATCTTATTTCTTGTCAAAGGTGCCTAAATATGACAAATTCCACACTTATGTAATCATCCTTCACCATGCTTCATATTAACACTAAATCCCAGCTTCTCTTGAATTGCCCTGGTCTTTTGAAGATCTCTAATCCCAAAGGAGCTGCCTGACCCACCAAATGTTAAGCCCAACCCCCCCAGGTTGCACCCCCTCCCCGCCCACAGCGTGCTAAATGGCAGCTTTGAACCTTAAAGTGCTTCCATAACAACAGCCTTGTCCCTAGCCTCGATTACCGGGACAATACATATTTTCATTACTACTAAAAGTGAGTGGAAATTACAGGCACAAACTGTGTGTGTGTGTGTGTGTGTGTGTGTGTGTGTGTGTGTGTGTGTGTGTGTGTGTGTGTGTGTGTGTGTGTGTGTGTGTGTGTGTGTGTGTGTGCTAATACCTGCAGGAGATATTAGTCAGAAAGACAAGCATCACTCATAATGTAACCCTATTTTTAAATGTGCAAACTTCCTAGAATAAGTTTGACTAGTTGATGAATCATATCATTGAAGTTATATTATGCAAGTGATAATGCTACATGCTAACCTTAGCTTACATGTTGAAATACAGCATAAGTGGAGATAATTGGGCAATTCACAAAGTAATGTATGTTGTATAGGAACATTTAAGTAAGCTAACATTAGCAACCAAAAGCTAGTGGTCTTACCAAGCCAACTAAGTCTGTAGCAACAAAACGCCTAGCTTGAGCAATGGAGCGTCTTATTTCCAATCAATTCAAGTTGTATTTGTACCCGTCTCTAAAAAGTTACAGTCTTGCTTTAAACCTAAATAGTACTAAAATGGATTGTTGGGATAAGAGCCTTAAGAGGTGTAAAAACACAGACACAGCACCAAGAGCATTAGAACAAAACCAAAAACACTAAGAGGTGTTGTGGTTTCTGTGGCATGAAATACTAATGTTTGAAAACACAGAAACCTACAAAACACAAATATCTAGTTAATCTAAAAAGCAAACTCTGCACACACAGACTTGTGATTTCCTTGCTTTACGCCAACACCAGTGAAAGGCCAGCTGACCTTTCCACGCTGCGGTCATGTTTACTGACACTGTATTAAGTCACCACTATCCCTGCATTCACTGCAGCTCATTGTTCGCAGGGAGACGTCGTCCCGTGGCTTGTTGTTACACTGTGGAGTTGTTGTGTAAAAGTGATCAATACACTGTGTAGACCTGGTTTGTTTTAAGGAGCTCTCTGGGACGAGGTTTATTATTTTCTCATTAACAGACAGGCAGGGGTAGATTTGTTAGATAAACATTTATATATAAATCAGCCTCCATTTACTCTGTGTCTTTAGTCACAGGAGAGAAGTGTTTGTCTGGCTGTGTAAACACATGTAGTGCAAACACCCCAGCGTGCAAAAAGAGTCCAAAAACACACTTGAAAGTAGCGTTTGAAATGTAGCTCTGGTGAATGCTAATATTTGTATGTGTGACACCATGTTTGACTCATGCTTGACATTCTGCCGTGGAGGAAAGTGAAGGGTATTTGCTGCAGGTAAATGTCTCACAATCGCACTTTCATCCTCCTTTTGTCTGAGGAGTTTGTCCCGTCGTCATGGAGATGGTTGAGTTTTCAGGTAAAATTAGCTTGTTTGCCAATCAGAAATATGTAGATCTACTTGTTGGATGATTTTCAAGTTGACCTCTGATTATGTTGAAGCCGCTGTATATGGATCTTCATTACAATTACATACATTATCTTAAAGGACGACAGCACAGTCATCATGACTAAGCTTTTTTCACTAATACCCTGACTAACTTAATTGTTCTTCGTTGCACTCCATGCTGCTAAACGATTGACCCTGAGGAGCAAGTTCAGGGTGTTATCATATGACCTTAGCAGTGAATTTCCAATTATATAATAACAAGTGGTCATATATGGAGGGGGTGGGGATCATACGTAACATTTATTTTGAAGGAGGGGTCAACTGTAACATCTCCATGACAAGTGAATGTCATCCTGAGATGTAACAATATGGATTTTCTTGTAAAAGTATAAAGACCTATTTGCTTTCGTACCAAGATGTTCTGTATGTACCTGTACTATTTAAACCTGCAGCGAGTTAGCTTATAGCTTAGCATAAAGATAGGAAACAGGGGGGATACAGCAATCCTGTCTTTGTCCAAAGGTAACAACATTTCCATACCACACCTCTAACGCTCACTTAGTATATCAATCTTTTTTTTATTTGTACAAAAACTACAATATAGAAACAACCAATTCCCCAAATGACTAACTGTTCCTTTAAATACTAGTTTTGCTAAGTCATCTGAAAAAGCCATAACAGAGAGAGGAGTTGTAAAAAACTCCAGCGCATGAAAACAAGTAAAAGGCGTAAATAACAACCATGAAAAAATAGATATCCACAATTTACATTTCTACCAGTAATTACAAATACCTTGACAGACTTTTGAAGTTGGTGCCCTTTCAAGTCTATGTTTGCAATAAGGAATAAACACAAGTGGTTTCCATCGTGGAAGCAAAACCGAAAATTCAAAAGATATACTCCAAGCTTCCAATAACATTAAATTAAACTAATCATCCTTAACCAACGAACATATCAGCTAATATCAGATGTCGAACACGTTTTCCATATGCAAGACAACGAAGACAGTTATGGTTTTGATAAGATCCACTGCTCATAAACTGTCATCACAATCGTGCATATGTCCAGTAACACATGGACACAGCCTGTTGGTTTTTATATTGAAGCATTTAGTGGTTTTAACCTACATTTGGGCACATTACCCTTAGATGCCCTTGATATTTTATAAAGGTTGCAAAACTTCCACCTTTGTTACCAGAGTTTAATGTGTTGTCCATGCTAAATAATCAAACATATAAAACACAAGACATCCTGATTTCTCCACCTTTTTTTTTTTTTTTAACATGTGTCGACCCTAATTTACTTAATGTTAGGGCAGTGGTCATACATGTGTTAAAGGAATGAATGCTGCCTGTTTAAAACAGATGCAAATGGTTGGAAATCCTCCTCATTAGGTTACACGTCAATAGCACAAAGGCAGAGGGGGGTCACCTGTGGCCTTCTGGGATGATCAGAAAAAGAGCATTTAGGGACATGTCATCCTGTGTGACATGGACGTGATGCTGCTCACTACAATATGTGTTATCATGTGTTTATGGCAGGATCCTTAGTGGCACATTACAGTAAATAACCTCAGTGAGGATGCATCCTGCATTCCTGTCATGTCATGCATTCCCAATGCAATGTACAGAGGGCGATAGGAAGGGGGGGGGGAAAGGTGACATGAAAATGCATCACTTATTCATTTAGCCTGCGCAGGACATACCACGGATTTCCCCAGTGAAAGCCACAGGGAGCGAGAGGAGAAAAAGGGGGAGACACTTTACATGCACACTTGTATATGAACTGCGCTTACCTGTGGTGGCTACATTTGCAGCATCAGACGGGGGGCTGCTGGGTAGATCATTCGAGTAAGTGCACCCCAGTACCGCATAGATGACGAGTCCACGTAGCAATACATTCAATACCTTGTGGATGTAACTCATGGTGGAACAAAATGAGGGGAAAGCCTAGGTATCCGTTACAGTGGGGATGACTGGGGCAATCCCGAAGAAAAAAATGTCAGGTTCAGACCAGCAGTAGCCAGTCAAAAAAAAAAAAAAAAAAGAGAAAAATAGTCTTTTTTAAGCAGAAGAAATACGGGGTGTCACAATTAAAAGAGACACCTTAAAAATAAATAACTTCAAGAATAATCCGGCAATTTGCTTGACAATTAGCACTCATTGCTGTCACGAAAAAATACCTACCAAGTAATAGTTCATCGTGGGTCAACGACTTTGAAATAAGACCCCCTCCAAAAAAGATTAATAGCCTCTAATGGGTTTACTGGCTGTTTCAGAGGGGTGCCTGCTGGGAGCTACGACAAGCCAGACCCCCATGTCTAATTGTATGAATTTATAAAAAAGATATTGCTAGGGGAAAAGACCGTGTGGTGAATAGGCTGCACAGCACATGCAGCCGCTGAAGGAATCCCCTCAAAACAAAAACAGACCCAATGGTAGTGAGCTGTTCTACCCAAGATATCCGGGAGATAGGAATAATATCAAGTGTTAAATCCTTACGTAGGCCTGTGAGTTTGAAGAAAATAGTCTCTGTACTTCCACGTACAGTATACAAACACCGGGGACAGCTTCAGCATATTGAGCGTCTCATAGGTCCGCCTCTTCACACGAAAGTAGCAAATCCCATCGCATCAAAAAAAGAAAAGACTCCTCCGTTTCCCCTAATCCTTATCACACCTGTATCGAGCGCCCGCCACATCCGCCTACTTTCCACATGAAGTTTTTAAGTCAGCTTTTCACGGTGTGATACTGTATCCTCCTGTCATATCAGCTGCTCGCCGGCCGATGCAGAGGGAGGGAAAGCCGAGCGGGGCGGAAGTCAGTATGCAAACTGCTTTGACATCAGGACAGGAGGGAGGGAGGAGGAGGAAGGGGGGAGACAGGGCTTTCAATTTGGCCACGACTACTACTGCCGGCATGTATGCAACACATGAGCGGAGGGATTTGTGTTTTAAGCGAAATTCAGCCATGCATCTCTTCCATGCGACCCCGGGTTTCGTGCAGGAATAATAGGCAAAACCATTTTTCTTTTTGGGGGGGGTTTTAGAGCTTGAATTGAGTCTTGAACCGGGTGCAAAACATACGAATCATGACACACTTAAAGGTTGTTTTTATGTCATCTTACCGCGGAGGATGGGGATGATGATACCCGCTTCATTGTTCTCCACTTCCCCACTCCAGGCAATGCAAGTTTCCCTCCCGGCGGAGCGCTGTGATTGGCTGGAGTGTCCCAACATGGCAGAATGTGATTGGCTGCTTCAGACAGCATTTTTGTTGGTCTCTTTTCAAGACGCACAGCGCGAGAAATGTTAAAAAAGGATAACACCGGTGTAATAGGGATTACTCTCTTTATCAAGCAAAGAGCTTTACTTTGAAGCCATCTGCTGCCATTTATTTTTCGGACAGTTTGGGGGCCCTGAGAATGTCCCCTTAACCCCCTCATACCAACATTACCAGTATTATTATAAATTAAAAATAAAACATAAATAAAATGTCTAAATCCAGGATATCAAGTCAACATAAATAAAGAGACCAACGTCTTTTCACAAACAAAAACAATACAAAAAACAACCTTAATATTTCTAAAAATAAAAATCGTGTTTTATCAATTGCCAATATGTCTATTAAAAAGTATATGACAATGAAAAATAATCTAAAAACAGCATTCACATCCATGTGTCATTTTCTTTGCTTTCTTAATATCTGAGTAAGCATCTACTTATAAAAACGTTTAATTTTGGAGTATTATAAAGAATAATAAAATACACATCTGTATTGGCACACATGGCAGATATATGACAGAGCAATTTACTGCATCAATGATTAAAGTAAAAACCTATATTAAAACAGAAGGTTGACCAAATAATAGATACAAAATCATAACTCTGGGATCAGACAAAAATAGAAATACAGAAGCATCCCACAGACAGCAGCATTTATTAAAATGACAGCACATCTGTTCCAGGAGAGAGACTCAGGCTGCATTACTTGCCGTAAAGCCTATAGAGACCATTTTAAAGTGACATTAAATACAGATTACTGCATTCTCAGGTGTCCCACATTGTAATGACCCACCTAAATTGTTACTGTATTCCTAATGTACATAATGCTTTGCATCTGAGGGTTGGTGGTGGAAACAGGCCATTCTCTTTGCGGTGCACATTTGGCTTCTGATTTAGATTGTCGCACACTGGACAACCTTGATTTTGACTCTGACACATGCTTCTGACAAAGCCCTGGAGGTGGAGCGTTACCAGATAATGAAATTCAATCATCTTCTGATAATCTTGATAACCCTTTATTGCAGGGTATATGTAGGAATCCTGAAGTCAAATGTAATACCTTTTAAGACCTTTTTTAAGACCCTTTCCATACATTTTAAGACCTCATCGCCACTTCGAGTTTTAACCGGTTACATTGGCGACACACTTTACCTCACATTGTATTGATTGTCCTTCCTCCTTATCTTCCAACCATTTGGACGCAAACTTGCATTTCCCCATAACGATGTTGTTTAACAATCGGCGTAAACGGGACTTCGCGCGCTATCAAGAAGTGAGCGTGCGATGTCCTGTTCGGATGATGTCAAATCCAACGGGATGCCATAAATAAACTACACAGAATCACACTACACACCTACGCAATGATTACATTCAGGCAAACTGTAGAATACAACCTCTTTGGACAATTGATATACTTATTGAAAACAAGCTACAAAATGTAATACCTTGGAAAATGCCATTTAATACTTTTTAATAGCCTTAATTTTGGCTAAATTGATTTATCAACTTGTAATACTTTAACCCCGCGGACACCCTGTATTGATAAGCAATTGTTACCCATATAAACACAAGTGAACCAGAGGCTTTACACAGGGCTGTGTTTATGTTGTGTTCCATTTGATATGGTTGAAACCTCATAGTTGTTAAAGCTCTCTTTACTATCAACAAGAAATCCTTGAGCTAACCTCAGAGCGATGAAGGACATGAGTCTCATCTCTCTGCAATGCAGCATGTCAGCCACCAGGAGGGGGCTCTGAGAGTAAACAATGCAGCAGGTAATGGTCGTCTCAGGAGGAACGGCCTTCTGGGGGCCAAAGGAGGGGCCTGATAAAAGAGCCAGCCGTGGGTGTCTTTGGTAAACAGGTGGCAGATGCAGCGGGGAGAGAGGGAGATACGAAAGAGAAGCACAGCATAATTCGATACGAGCCTGCAGGGAGGAAGGCGGCCAACAACGGGGGAAGGGATCGAGCAGATGCTACATGTGGGAGTGGGGCGGAGGAGGGGCAGAAGGTCAAGACCCCTCGATGCTGCTATACCTGCCACTCACCTTTCAGACTTCTTTAGCAATGCCTATGGCGAGCTTCCAAAATACAGCACACCCTGCCCCAATATTTACCCCGTCACACAAGCTGGGAACATTTAAATTAAGGAGCAATAAAAAGAAAGTCAGGCAGCAAAATACTGAAGCAGGACGGACTGAAAAGCTGCCAACATTTCAAAGTCTGAGCAGCTAAAGGATTAATAATTAATAACCACGAGGAAGCGATTCAACAAGTTTATTTAAAAAAAAAAAATGGTTGATGTCGCAATATACATGATGTGAAGATGTGTGGGATAAAAGACATTGGCATTGACCTACATAGAATACTGTAAATAATATAGACATTTTATTTAAATAAAAAAAACCTGTACAAAATAGGTGCATATATATTCAGGAATTAAATGCATGATTTAAACAAATCATCATGAAATAAGATACATTTCCCTTAAGCAGTAATATGCTTCATAAATATAATAAAGTGTACACACAGCAGCTTCTAATCATATAAGTGTTATATAATCCAGTTTATTTGACTATCTCTCTCAACACTGCCGCACGCTAAGGCCTAATCTGCTCCTTCATCAGCTACAGCAGTATCTAATAGAGTTACAACCAGCAGAGGAAATTACAGGAGCTAATTAACACTTCATTAGCCGAGCTTTGAGATGTTGTTCTCCTTTTGCAACACAATTACTGCTTCATGCAACTCCTAATGAGCTCCTCAGCTGATCCCAGCACTGCTGTGAGGATCGTCTTTCCTGCAGGGCGTATGGCTTCAGGAGGTTAGCTTAACCTTAGCGGCTTGTATAGGCTATACTTACATACTGTATAATATCTAATGACATGATAGCGGGTATTCACTATTTATGGTGCATCCATGCAAAAGAGGGGTTTTGGCTGTTAGTGCGAGATGAGGTGTGTAATGCTTCGGTTTTCCTTCATGATGTCTTGATATAACACTCGTGGCATTTCAAAGTGGCGTTTTAAAGTGTCCCTTATTGCTCCACGTGGCGACTCCACGACTCACATCCCCGCAGTTTTTCTCCTCAGATGGCGGTGGCGAATAGAAAGATCTGGATGAGCGGCATGACCTTCAGAGTGGAAAGGTCGGCGAGGACGGCCTGCAGTGTGCGTGTCAAACAAAAACACAGATGAGATTTCTGAATTCCCGCGCCCCCCTCATGCCCAGAGCAATCTAAGCCCGTGAGAAGGGCGGCGAGGCACATCTTGACCCCTTTTCGGGATATTAAAAAAAGCAGCACACATGCATAATGATGATGCAGGATCCTTGGGAAGCGACAATCCATGCTTAAGAGCACACCGCTCCCCATCCCTGTCCTTTTGGGAATCGGGGGAGATTAAATGTAGGGAGCCTATCATGTTAAGAGAAAGGGTTTGATATTTCAAGGCATGAGGTTCTAAATATAAGATAAGGAGCAGTATGTTATGATATCTTCTCTCCGCTGGGGCAGGTGGTAAATGAGCAAGCAAGTGCCGGCCAGCATCTTAGAGCAGCCGATCAGCCCGAGGCGTCATAATGTAGTTTAACCCCCTCACCCTCAGAGGGGGGGGGGGGGGGAGTAGGAGTGAGGAGAGTCATCGTATGGTTTACTATTGGTTTCAGTCATACGATAGTGGGACCCCAGTATGGAAGCATACTGCGTGCTGGCATGCACAAGAATAACGTGAGTGTAATAATGCAGCGTGAGTGACATGCAGGAGCTAATAGGTGTGTGTATGACCTATTCGTATCAAAGTCATTAACACAGTTCTGTGCAGATAGAAGCCCCCTTTTTTTTTTTTTTTTTTAAATAGGTCTGATCTTCTTCAGCGGAGGTTATATGAAGATGTCAAGCTAAAGCGGTAAGAAAGCTTAAGTGTCTAGCCAGCCATTTCTTTCAGACATGTGCATGCAGAAGACTGGGTTACTGCTATTGGCTGATCATCAACGGCTATTTACAGCCTTCAAGGAGCATGTGAGAGAGACAGGGATAGGACTGGAGTTTCACACAAACACACACACACACACACACACAGGTCTGCTGCGAGATGGACATACCTCAGCCGAGGCCAGCGACGTCACTTCCATCAGGTTCTCGGCGCGGAAGGCGAACACAGCGGCTGCTAGGACTGGAGGATGTGGAGGAGTGGGAAAAGAAGGGGGGAAACAGAGAAAAGGGGGTTTAGATAGAGGAAACATCAGAGAAGCAGGGGGTTATTGTACAGCCAACAGCTCTTACCTGCGACCACCTCCAGGGAGTCGTACCCCAGGATCCGGTCCCAGAGAAGGAGCAGCTGGTCAGAGGACAGATAGCCAGAAAAGGCCCTCACCATCCACTTAAAGGCAATACGCAGCCTGAGGGACAAACCATCACATCTTTAGGCTCTATGAAGGGTAATTAGGAAGTTGTAATTCTGGCAATACACCACAAGATGGCAGCAGCTCATTACAGAAAGACCTGGTGTATGTGATTCTTCACTATATTAAATATAGAAATAGGATTAAGCTTTAAGAACCTGGATGGAAAAACACATCAATAGGGTAATACCAACAAAAAAACCGAATCATATATTTTATGCCCAACTTTGGAAAGGAACAAGATGTGGTGATTATGGACCTGACCATGTAGAAAGATATACTGTTTGATTTGAATTGTTGGTTTTTGGTCACTTTAATCATTGTTTTGAGTTGATGAGGAGTTGTCCTTAAGTCCGTCACTTTAAAAAGACAAATGAGGGCAAATAGGATGAGGGTGAGGATGAAGCGGTGTACTCACGGTTGCGCCTCGATGTGTCTCAGG